TTTATTGTCAAAGGGGAAAACAGACAGATTGTTTTGACTAAAGAATAAGATTAACATGTTGTAGGACAAGACAAGAATCAGACAAAAACAATCTAAACCCTTTAGAGAGATCTTTTTTAGGCATTGTAAAACCATGACATGACCAAAATCTCTGATAGATCAAAATGTTGCACAGTTTTGAAGGAATTTCAGTGTACAGATATTTTCTTTGACTCTGACAAAGGTTCTATGATAGAAAAAATATATTGGAGGATGCATATAATTAAAAGGCTCACCAATAATGTTGACGGGCAGCTTCAGAGCTGCTGCTGTGACGATAGACGCACACACGGTGGCTGCTCCCCCCATATCAGCTCTCATTGCATCCATAGAAGAAGGCGGCTTCAGGGAAATACCACCACTGCCAGCAAACAGAGAAGGAAAAAGACAACATTAATGTGAAGGTTTTTTTCTGTTTTGATGGGCTAATGAGCTCGAGTTTGTTTTGTTTACCTGTCAAAGGTGATGCCCTTGCCCACTAGGAGCAGCGGGGCCTGCTTGCTGTCCGGAGAGCCGTTGTAGTGCAGCTCCAGGAAGACAGGGGGCTCCTCTGAACCTCGAGACACACTGAGAAACGCTCCCATCTGTTGCTGCTCTATCCAAGCCTGAGATCTACAGAAACACGCGAGTTATCAGACATAACAACTTTTATCTGCTTTTAATGGTATAAAAAAATCAGCTAAAAAGAGTTGTCCATATAATTTAATTTCTTTTCTGGTTTACAATCATTTGGTTGGTCTCAACAAAACTGTTTCTTTAAACCAAAAGTAACATCTTGAAATACAACAAACACCAACACCCAAAAGACATTCCAATTACTATGATATAATAAAGAATAAAGCAGCAAATCTTTACAATTGAGAACAGGAACTAGAGGTTTAGTGTGTTGGTTTGAATCGATTATCAAAATAGAAGCCTTTAAATGTTTTGTCCTCTGACTTAGCAATAAATCCAAAAAATGTTTCACCTGTAGATTGACGAATCAAAATACTCTATTTTACATGTATTTGTTGCATGCTTTGTTGATTCTTTCTGTCATCATTGTGACACTACATTAATGATGAATAACAAACAAACCTCTTATGTATTGTGACTCGTTCAGCATGCGGTGCTAGTTTTTCTTCAATGGTGTTGGCAAAAGCTGTTGGAGTAATGTGATTGGCAGGAGCCTCCATGAGCATCCGTGCCAGGTTTTGACCTTCTGCGTACGTGACTCCTTTCTGCCAACCGGCCGAGTCAGCACTGAAAACAAATACAAACAGATATATGTATTGGCATAATGCCGCATTCATCTGAAATAACTAAACTGTCATATTTCTATCAATAACAGTCAGTTTGCCCTAGCAATCTGCTACAGCCATTTATTAGTCTACCTTCCATGAAGCTGTGTGGTTACTTTGTTCTTCTTCTTGGATTTTAGTTGGTCATACTGGAACAAACCCAGACCGGCGCCTTCTGCTGCGGACTGGGCATCCCCGCAGCCGTCCACCTCCACATGCTTCACCTCCAGGTCCTGAAGCAGCCGGCAGCCAGCTGAACACACACACACACACACACACACATGCAGACATGAGTCAGGCAGTAAATCCTCCATGTAGTCAGCACATGGCATCAGAGTCACGTGTCTTACCTGACATTGCCTGTCTGACGTTCTCCTTGCTGGTGTCCCAGTTCTCTGATCCACACACACCGGCAGTGGTTTTACCCAGCCCGACTACTGCCACACATGGGAAGTCCTGAAGAAGACACAAGGATGATTTTATTACTCTAGAGTAGATTTTGCAGCAAAAGACAGGGTTTTCTTAATCTACTTCCATGCTTTCTTACCTTGTGGATTCCATAGAATATTCTGCTTTTGCCTTGCTTAAGAGTGGGTCCAGAGCTAGGAATAAAAAAACAGAAACAGTTACTTTTGCGAAAAATAGAGGCACAGTGTTACCGACACACTTTTACTGTTGCTATTGCACTACCTCATTTTACATATGTTTACATGACGTATATTTGTATTTTGTATCAGACCATTACATGTATAATGTAATTGTCACATAACAAGACTAATTTTGTCAGCTCACAGATATTAAAAACTCACATTTTAAGCAGTTCGGAGAGTTTTCCGGACAGGGTTTGGTCAAAACCTGCAGCTGCTTCTGTCAGATGAAGGCCACCCTCCTCTCCCTCCTTCTCAAACACTCCCAGCACCAGACCCTGCAGACACACATGAACACAATAAGGAACCACATCAGTCCAATCAAATGGTCTTTATCACTGTCGATCAACATATCAATAGCTCTGGTTCTTAAAGTTATAGCTAGTAATTCCCCTTTTGCGTTGTTGTGGCAATCCAAACATATAAAAACATTAAAGTTATTAACGGTAAAGGAGACTGCCAGTGTAATTTGTTAGGTGTTGATACTTGTCCCTTCGGAAGATTTATTTATTAGTGAAACATTTGAGTAAACATTACTATAAGTACATATTATGGTTTTATTTGATATACTTCATTTTGCATATTTTATCTATTGGTTGTTTATTGTTTTACTTCTACTTTTTGCCAATAATATAAATCACTTTGAATTGCCTATAATGTGAAATATAAACAAAGAGGCTCTGTCTTCAGTTTAAACCATGATGGTGACTGGATATTTGCAATATATTCGAAGATAATAAAAGACGTTGAGAGGATAGTAAATGAAGTAATTAGTAAATAAACAAAGTTTTGAGCGTTTTTGACACACACCCACACACTGATGCTCTTACAAATAAATACATAATCAAAACACACACACACATCTGAATGGGTTAAGCAGACAGTATGAAATGGAGATAAGTCCTGTGTTAGAAACTGATGTAACTCTGTCAGCCAATGTTGGACAGATACTCACCTTTCTCTCGCTCAGGAGAGTCTGTGACGCAGAAAACGACCTCCCGTGTTTCCCCGCCTGCACGGTCCTCCTCAAGAGAAGCATTGTTATCTATTGTTCATATATAAAGCCAGAAAATATATTAATACAGAGATTTAGAGGTCGCATGCATGTGGAAAAGGCAATCTCGATCTGACAGCGTCGCGGTTTTCAAACGTCACGAACTAGAACAAAGAGGGAATTTGTCGCCACCTGGCGGCAGAAGCGATGAGCAGCAGGAGGTTTTAAATCAGCTGTTAAACACATTGACTGTATAAACCTTCACCTCTTTTCACCATAGGCGTCATTTGCGCTGGGCCATTTCTACTTTTTGAAATGGCCAATTTGGTCCCCAGCACTTTTTTAAAGTATAACTTATAAATGTCATAAACAAGAACACTGGTTTAGTGTCAAGATGTGCAATTTGGACATGTTAGTACTTTTAATAGAAAATGTAAAAAGAAAAACATTGCTCCCGCTTTGCAGCACTAAAGCCGTAGATTAAACAGCAAACGGCTGAATAAATAATGTGCATACAATTGCGAGGGGGCTCAATTTAAGGAACATTTACAAATCTGGAAAATGTTTTGTATTGGAATAAACTTCTGGGTTTTTATGTTTTATTCCTACAGAATACATGGTGAAAAGATAAGATGTGTTTTGTCAGTATAGTACTATTTTATAAAAACATTCTCTGTTGTTCAAGTGTCTGATACTTGATAACCACGAATACAAAATACGTAAAAAATGACAAGTAATGATATCACATAATGATATAGTCAGACACTGTGTTTTTTCAAATCAAGCCTAACGAATAATTTGTGAAACACTGGCTTTACTCACTTGAATTGCTCCTTAGAATGTATTTTTCCTATGGTTTTCTATACAATACATTTTTGTATTGTAATGCCACTCGTATTTTATTTATTTGTGTATTGTAAAGTGACATTGAATGTTTTGAAAGGTGGCCTCAAATAAAATGTTTTATTGTTATTGTATCTGTGCCTCTCTCACAATGTTAATGTTCTTTTTTTCCGACAAGGTCAATAGGGAAGATCTGCACGGTTTCTCTATAGCCCATGTTCAGCAGAACAGGTGGTGCAGCTGCCTGGTTTTGCACCCCCACTATAACTTTATCCAGGGTGGTCGTACTCTCACCAAAATCACACTGGTGTTTGCTGTTCACTTATAGTTTGTGCACACAAAGGCATTTTACTCTGGACTCAGCAGGTGAAAAACTAGAGAGGGGCTTCCACATGTGGCAGACCAGGCGTTGGTGCTGCCGGATTTGGCACCCCCACTAAGAAATCCTTACTGGCTTAAAACATGATTATTGCAAGTTTTGTGAAAATAATATTGAATATATTAGTAATATTGCTGTGTTTTCCTTTTGTGCCGTAAGGATATAAATACAGAGGATATCGTATGATGTACAGGTTGTAAAACCAACCCGAGACAACTTTGTTATCTGTAAAGTTGTGCTTTATGATTGATTGAAATAATTATATTACTTTAGAAAACAAATACAACATTTAAATACAAAGCTTCAGATCATGGGAAGATAATAACAACAATAAAACACACATAGACAATAAGATGAAACACATACTCCAGGTTATTATTTAATGGATGTCTACTTTAAATTTCTGTTTGTCACAAGTTTTTAGTATCCAAGACTTTATAACTAATCTAACAGGTGTAATGACTTCTTTTTAACAGCTCGTGAATTCACTTCATAACAGACAAATCAAATCAAAGGATTCTTAGTAATGTTCTGGTTATGGATTACATAAAACCAAAACTCCCCATTATTCATGCATACTTTACGCTTTCTATCAGAGATCAATAATAATACTGTAAAAACTGACTTGAAAATGATTAAAGTGACTGGAAAACACAGTTAATGACATTCTATACATATAATGACAATAATAATGACGTATTTACATTGTGCAGTTATAAAGGATGTCCAGAATGCAAAAGAATGATTGGGCTGCAGGAATTTGTGCATTCATTAAGTCTGAGTAGCACTGTCCACAGGGTTGGTTTTACTGTCAGTCATTGTGTTTTGCTCCAGTAACCACCAGTGAATGCTCCTCTCTCGGTCCCTCAGTAAAGCAGGTCCAGAGAAGAGATGGTGGGTTCTTCAGGTTTCTTAATCTCTGGTTTGGGCAGTTTGATCCGGCTCATTGCAACCACTCCACATACGGCAAAGTGAGTGGCAATGCTGCCCACACCCAGCCAGAAGGACCAGTCCAGGCTGTCATCCAGCACATCCAGCACGAAGAGGTTCTCCCGATGATTGGCTACTCGCTCCGTCAGACTGTGGTGCTTCAGAGCTGCCAGGAAACACAGGAGGCCCAAGGAAGCAAAGAAAGCTGAAAGAAAATATCCATATAAATGTTACATTTAACCTTTTTTAAAAGTGACCTGGCCAAGAGGGCAGCACAAGCTTTTCTTTTGCAGAAAAACCCTGAAACTAAGCAAACGGACACACTGTTACACTTCGAATTAGCACACGTTCCAGCTTAGGCAATACAATTTTGTACAGCTATCATTTTCATAAGCGATTTTGATAAAAACACGTAGAAGCAATCACTTTGAATCTTCTCTTTTTTCCCCTCAAAATTGACTCAAATCACCCCTTAGTAATCAGCTCGGACAATTTCAGGTCCTTCTACCTTATTTTATGAACAAGACAGAAGAGATAGAAAGGTGTTTTAACTGGACGAATAACACAAATTGGGCCAAAGAAAAAATTGAAGAAATTAGGATGGAAATCAGTAGCCAAGGAAATAATCTAATAATTAAAGGGTTTTCTTTGAGAGAATATGAATAGGCTTTCCTCACATACATACCGGCAATGAAGTTCCACAAGTAGAGTCCTTTGTGCCCTTTGATGCTCTGGTAGGGAACTTTTCGTGCGTTGTAGATGCAGAAAGACAGACTGACCAGAGCAAAGCCCACAGCCACCAACAGGAAGAGGATAACCATCATGTGGAGGCCGCTGTTCAACGTTCGCACCAGATTTGGGAAAACTGGAGGGACAGGAAACACAGATAAAAACAACAGGTGAGTGAGCTGAGCTTGTCAAGATGAAAGTGAGTGAAAAGGTGTGAATGAGGTATTTCTCTGTTTCTGTGCAGGTGTATAACTAAGAGTATTATTGCTGTTGATGCAGCAGGTAATGCATGTGTATTAACATAATCAATACACTTTAAATAATAGTTTTACTTTTTTTTACAGAATTAGTTCCCAATAGCATAGTCAAATTGTATATTTGATGTGTAATAAATGTCTGTTTAATTTCTTATCGATATCATATACAACATTTTGGGTGAAGTTTAACTAATAATAATAATAATAATAATAATAATAATACAGCAAAGAGTCTAGAGACAAAGTGTGTTATGCTTCATGGTTGAAACAGGAATAAAACAAATTCAGGACAGCAATAAACTAAAATCAGACAAATATAATAACAGAAGTTGAAATGGAAATAAAATACCCCAAATTAAGTACCCAATATAAAAAGGCAACATTATAAAAACGATAAGACATGTTGGACAAATAATAGTGTGTTTACATCATAATAAAAGTAGGCGTTTCTTCTAAAAAATGAATAAAACACACTTAACCACACCATAGGCTACAGGTTGTTTTTGATCTTACTGTATATTTTGGAGCGCCTGTTGCCAAGCCCGCACTTCTTGGTCTTGCCTCCCTGGAACAAACCGTAGTAAATGTCCCCGATGAACTGCTCCAGCTCCGGGTGGGAAGCGTTTACTATCTCCGCCCCGGTTTTGCACAGGATCCGTCCGGCGACCCAGCGCTCCGTGGACAGAGCCACGACCAGCAGCACCACCGATCCGACGCAGAGCACCGAGGCCGCCGAGAAGGTTATCCGTTTCCACAGCGAAGGCATCTTACGAGCCCATGGTGCCCGGAGGAAGGTAACACTACACCGGGCAGCGACCGCCACGCACACTCGGCGATCACCATGAGTTTAGTCTGAAGTTTGTAAAAAGAAAAATATAATCATACTCGGATAAAGGACAAGTATTGTTGTTCCTCTTAGGGCGTCACTGCGGAGTCACTGAGGAGGAGAAACTGAATCTAGGGTGCTCAGAGAGATCCGTTACCGGGAGAAACTCTATCCATGCCTGCCTACTTCCTGCCCCCCCCCCACACACACACACACACACACACACACACACACACACACACACACACACACACACACACACACACACACACACACACACACTCTGCTCTTTATTCAGGAGAGGTATTAACCTTTACATATGGCCTTTTCAGCTAGACATGTATCATGATTGTTGACCATAAAATCATGCAAGCACAGTTAATGGTGTCAGAGTGATATGATCTATTGAGGGCCTAAAGGTCAGAGCATTGGACACAGAGGGACTTAATGAGTTAAAGTGAGCTGGATTTATATCCCCACATCTCTCATCTTGTTTATTCCATGCTCTTTCATTAAAGCCTATCTCATATAGGTGGTTTAAAGTAACACATTACTTGAATCAATCATTGTAGTAAGCCTATGTTAAAGCAGGCTCTCTAAAGGGAGGAAATAAATTGTTTTAGTATGTAGCAGGTTAATCCAGCTGCAGTACGGTGGCCCCGAGGCAAAAATGAGCAGAGAGCCCCTGTTCAATCTCGTTCCTGCCACCATCTGCACATTGTGTGCAGTACAAACCTCGGTACATCCAAAGTGTCATCAGGTTCATTGAGTATTTTTTTTTTCATTTTCATATAATTGTTTTACTAATGCTGCTGTATTTCTACTTGTTTACAGGATTGATGTGTGTCAGTTAGTTTGTAGTAATTTGATAAAAAAATTATTTCTTAAAAAAACACATAATTTGGGCATTATCTACACTAAATAACTAATATATAGAGACTAGGCGACAGGCTCTCATAATAAAAGAAAAATGCAACATCTGCCTCTATTCGACATCTCTGCATGCATATGTCAAAAGTGTGTCTGAATAATCTCATTACAAGCAATTATCAGTAAAACACTAAAAACACGACTAAATATGACATTAACTTACTGTAGTACTCTCTTGAGGTTAGTGTTGTGTACATTTCAAATCTTGACAGATAATTCTAGTTCAATTCCAAATATGTCTTATAATATGCACTACAATAACAAAGATGCAGTGGTTGTCAATGAAAATCTTGGCTCTCAATAACCTTTCAACAATTTAAATTAAATTGATTTCAAATCGCTCTCTTAGATAATAAATAGTGGAAGCTATAATTCAATATTAACATAAATAACATGTAATGCTGCTGCAACACAAACATTTCCCACATTGGGATCAATAAAGTACTATCTTATCTTATCTTAAAATAAAGTAGCCTAACATACGCGATGGTAGTAAGAAAACGGAATGTAAAATAAAGTAAATGTATAATGTATAAATGCAATTATTTTACCTTTTAATTCAAGATGTGATGTGTGATTAGTTTCACATGTCACATTTAACAAATCAACTAAATTAAGGTGTGAAATGTACTTACGGGGCTTTTGGCGACATCTTCTGGTGATTCAGTGTCACTACAGTGCGTGATGACGTCAGAGCGTGTGACGCAGAGGTCAGTCTCCAGTCTTTTTTGGAAAGCCAAAAGTGCCACAATTCGCCCGTTTATTTCGCCCGTTTTTTTGCGTGACTATACGGACCTCCGCGAAAATACGCGCGAAAATACGCGCGAACATACACGCGAATGTTCGCGTGGTTTTTTATATGATAATGGGCCCCTCCTTCTGATTTCCATAGCCAATAAGTTCAAAGTTTCTGTAACCAATCAGTGAAGAGTAAAGCCAGAACAAAGCAATCTGTAGATGAAAAGTTCCTGACATTGTGAGTCTGTGCTGTGAATTGTACATTATTCCAGATTCAGGGGATTAAGTATTAATTTGCCTTTGAATATAATCAATATATCAATATAACCTGCCTTCATTGTCTTTTAAAATAAAATCGCCTTACCCTTTTTGTAGCTACACCGGTCCAATAAATAAGGCCACGAACATACTGATGTCTTTTGAAGGTTTATTCTCTCCCTCTCGCTCTCATTCTCCGAAGACAGCGTGTAAACTATAAGAAATGAACAGTTGAAAGTTTACATTAAATCGTAACACCTAACACATTAGCAAAATCAAAGCACACACTAAATATTAACACACATATCACAAAAGAGAAACATTTACCGTGTGCGCCTCTTGAACCCTGTAGATCAGACCTGGGCATCGTACGGCCCCCGGGCCACATACGGCCCTTTGGTTGACTCTGACCGGCCCGTGTAAGGCTAATTGGAAATTACAAAATAAACATATTTTCTAACTTTACCTCATGCATGGACTAAAGCTGCATTGCTTTTATTTTGAAGTTGTTTTTTATTCACGTGCATAATGACGCAATACGTATATCAAGACGTGCACATTATTGGATCCTTGTCACAAGACGACTTTAGCCCTCAAAAAAATGTCCGCTAAAAAAAGAAAGGTAGATGCTGAATGCAGGGTTTTCAACAAAAATTGGACTGCTAAGTATTTATTTACTGAAGTCGGAGGTAAAACCGTGTGTTTAGTTTGCGGGGAGCAGATCGCCGTGTTTAAGGAGTACAATGTGAGTCGACATTATGAGACAAAACACGCGGAGAAATATAAAAACTTGACTGACGCTGAAAGGGCGCGGACATCGGAAGCTTTGCTAGCTAAGCTGCAAAAGCAGCAAGGCTTTTTTACCAAGCTTCACACATCCAGTGATGCAGCAACCATGACCAGCTTTGTGATATCCCACAAAATTGCTAAAAACAGTAAGCCGTTCTCGGAGGGGGAGTTTGTCAAAGAGTGCTTGGTGGACTCTGCAGCACTAATATGCCCTGAAAAAAAAGCCGCATTTGAGCAAGTCCCGCTGTCCAGGCGAACCGTGACTAGAAGGATCGAGGACATTGCGGGGAATCTGGAGCTTCAGCTGCAACGTGAAGTGGCAAGTTACGACTTTTTCTCCTTGGCTTTGGACGAGAGCTGTGATGTCCGCGACACAGCCCAGTTACTCGTATTCGTCCGCGGGATAACACCGGACTTCAAGATTACGGAGGAGCTGGCAGCAATGCGGTCGATGAAAGGGACGACGACAGGGAGCGATCTGTTCACGGAGGTAAACGAGTGCATGGACACGCATACATATGTGAACAAACATTTTCAATTATGAAGTTTACGAAATCCAGGTATAGATCCTCTCTCACTGATGATCATCTGTCAGCTGTGCTTCGCATCTCCACCTCAGACATTCAACCTGACTTTAATGCATACCTGCCAACCCTACCGATTTGGGCGGTAGTCTACCGCTTTTGACATGTTTCTACCGCCTACCGATTTAGCTGACTCTCCCTACCGATTTTCAATCTTCCCAAACTATAACAAATAAAAATGACACTACATAGACACTGGACTCGACTTTTGGCGGACACCGTTTGCAGCGTGTCTGTGATCCCATCATACAAACAGTCCTCTGTGTTTCAGTCGATCGCGAGATGTGTCTAAAAATAGAACGACAATATTCTGTTTTATCGTTAATGTCCTATAACATAATCTTCCTGTGCCAGAATAATGCACTTGAACGCATCAAAGCTTTGTGATTTATCGGGGCGTGGCTGGTCAGTGGGCAGTGGGCACTAGTTTGCTGTGCAGTCCGCACACACAAGACCACAATTATGGCAGAAGCAAAAGAGTCCAAAATATATAATTTTCACTCCGAGTGGGGAGGATGATTATTTTTGTATCTATTCCAATTCAAAGTCCATCTGTCTCATCTGCAATGCGAGCGTGGCTTTATCGAAGAAGGGTAATTTAGGAGCGGCATTTCAAAACAGTGCACAAACGCTACGAGACGGAATTCCCTCCTAATTCTGTCCGACGCTCCCAAAGGGTGAGGGACCTGAAAGGACAGCTAAATGCACGGCAGTCCATTTTCACCAGGCCCAACAACAAGAGCAAGGCTGCTACCATAGCGTCTTATCGTGTCAGTCACGTTCTTGCAAAACACATGAAGTCTTTCAAAGACGGCGAAGTTGTGAAAGAAGCATTCCTGGAGGCTGCCGACGCGCTTTTTGGGGACAGTAAAAATAGCAGTAGCATTTCAACAGGTTTTTGATATAATAAAAACTCAAGTTAGATACCGTTATTAATCAGCTGTAAGTTTTAGTTTGTTTGAACTTATTCATTATAATTATTGTACAAAATGGTATAAGAATGCAAACTTTAAGATCTGTTCTGTTTAAATTGATTATAGTCTATTATCAATTCAGGTTAATAAACTAGTGTTGCTTGCATCCTATTTTAAAGGCATTTCTTTTTATACTCTACTAAAATGCAAAAAAAAGAAAAGGGTTTGATTCTATTAATTTTGTCTTTTTTATTGCACTCTGGCAGCAGATTCCTGTGTAGCTTCAGATCTGAGTTGTCTTATTAGTAAAAACTAATTTATACTTTTGTAGCAACACTATTTTTATATAATGACAAAGAAAGGGTTCAGTCTTTTCTTTTTTTCCTGTGTCATATGTGGCAGCACTGTTCAATGTTTCTTGAAAACATTACCCACTGTAGTTTGTGACGTGTGAATAAACTCCCAACTCTGTATCAACAACACTGTTGTGTAACTTCAGTTAAATACTTGTATGTGTGTAGATTAGAAAGAGGTAAGATAAAGGATCTGCAGTATTTTATGAAGTATTAATCGTACAAAGTCAGTTTTATACAAGTAGAAGTGTGTATTTACCTGGTAGTCGGCTGTCAGTAATGCTGCGCCTCTCTATTTGGACTGGTAGATCTCGGCAGACTGGCCACTTTAAAAGTAGCTCTCGGTTCAAAAAAGGTTGGGCACCCCTGATCTACACTGTCAAGGTTCAAGGTTCAAGGTT